CTTTATTTTTTGTGTATATAGTTCATTTAAAACGCTAAACTGATACTTATTCTGTTTGGTGATGGTATTCTCTTAAATAATAAAGTCTCTGAGTAAGTCTTTCTTTTCTTCCTCCCCAAAAATGGAACATAATAAATAAAAATATATACCAAAGCTACTATTAAAATAATATAAAATAAAAAAATACAAAAAAGAATTCCACCCAAAAAAAATAAAAAAAATCTAAGTCAACATTCAGGGCTCAGCACCAGCTGAGATTTTCTGGCAGTAAAAGCCTTTTTATTTTATTTTTTGGTTGTGCATGGGTTAACTAAACATCTTACAATGCTACAACAGCATATGTAAGCACAGTATTATCACAGTGATTCACAGATATGGCATTGAAGTAGCGGCACATTTTTAAGGCGTAGGCTTTCTCAAGCTTGAAATGTCGATCAGAGCGCTCTTAGTCCCCTCACGTGACTTTTGTGAGAATATCACCAAACAAGAGCTGCCCATTCACTAGATTTAATAACTGTGAGCTTATGCTGGCATGTCCAACAATAAGGTATACGGGAGGGTTCTTACCACCCTTACAGTAATATGGAGGTTGTAGTGATGGCAAATAGGCTTTCCCCCCCTTTTTAAATGTGGCAGTTTGTTAGAAAGTGCTAGCCAACCACCACAGTACTTAACCTTCATGGCATAGGGTTTTTCAGAAGCCTTTGCCTTTTCTTTAGCTTTTATGGTTCTCCTCCTCTTGTATGAATAATAGCTCAATTTTGTATTTACCTATTGTCCCATTCCCATCATCATCTTGATCTTGTTACATTTTTCTGTTAAGTAGTTCTAAAGCCACATTCAAGTGCATTGCAAATAATAAGCTATCTGTTGCACTTTTACTCTAAAAGTAAGCTTGACCTTTTTCTTTTTTCACACATTAAACTTAGAATTTCAAGTATGTCATACTGACATACATATCTTATGTGTTGTAACTACTCAAAACATTTAGATTTTTTTTTTTTTTTAATACTGGCGCTTTTTTTTTTTTACGAATTTGTAATTTTATATACAAAACCTTTGAAATCGTATTTTTTAAAAACTCTCTGAAATTTTGCAGCATTTTTACCGAGTTGTGACAAATTACAGTAATATTAATAATCAGTTTCCACAAAATAAAACGTGGAAAGGTCACAAACTTAAGTCACTGTTAATTAAGAAAAAATGTAACATGGAAATAAAATGTGGCACTTTCATGGACTGATATTTGTCATTAACTCAATCATTACCAAGCACATTTTGATTGAAAATACATTAGCATAACATTTATTTGATGTATTATTATTGGCTTTTATATAGTGCCAACAAATTCCGTAGCACTTTGCGCTTTACAATATTATAGGAGGGGGAGATTTAACAATAAATGAGACAATTACAAAATCTTACAGGAACGATAGAATGAAGAGGACCCTGCTCGAAGGAGCTTACAGTTTAGAGGAGGTTGAGTACAAAACACAATCGGACAGGAGATGGCGATCAAAAACTTTAGGAGTGAAGCAGAGTTGGAGGAGAGAGTACAGTACTGCCCTTAGGAGAGAGCAAGGGACAGGTGTGTGAGGTAGAGGTCATAAGCTTTTCTGAAGAGATGGGTTTTAAAGCACTTTTTTAAACAATTCAAGACTAGGGGAAAGTTTGGTGGTAGGCAGGCTATTCCATAGGAAGGGAGTCACCTGGGAGAAGTCCTGCAAGCTTGAGTTGACCATACAGGTGCAAGTAGCAAGCAGAGAGAGAGACCGAGAAGGGGCATACTTGTGGATCAGTGAAGAGATATGAGTGGCTAGAATTTCTCATTGCTTTATAGGTATGGATTAGTACTGTGAATTGACTCATATAGGATACAGGAAACCAATGTAAAGAATGACAGAGGGGTGAGGTGTAAAGAGGAGAGACAGGAGAGGAAAATCAGTCTGGCAGCAGCATTCATTACAGACTGTAGCAGGGCAATGCGGCTTCTGGGAAGACCAATTAGGGGAGGGTTACAATAATCTATGCAAGAGATTACTAGGGCATGGACAAGCTCCTTAGTAGTAGTTTGCGTAAGAAAGGGGTGGTGGATGTAGGCAATGTTTTTAAGGTGGAATCAACTGGATTTGGTTACAGACTGGATGTGAGGCTCAAAGGTGATGCCAGAGTCAAGTATAATTCTAAGGCATTGTGCTTGCAAGGATTGTCTAATGTGTGTACCACTAACTTGAAAGGAGAGTAATAGAGGATCAGTATTAGGACAGAGGAGGGAAGACAAGAAACTCTGTTTTAGAGAGATTGAGTTTCAGAAAGTGGGAGGATATCTAGTCAGAAATGGAAGAAAGGCAAATTTTGACACGTTGTAGGACAGCAGGGGAGCGGTCATAGGAGGAGAGATATATCTGGGTGTCAACAGCGTAAAGGTGGTACTGGAATCCAAATGAATTAATGAGTTTGCCAAGACAGGCAGTATAGAGAGAGAGCAAAAGAGAACCAAGAACAGAGTGTTGAGGCACTCAGACTGAGACAGGATGTGGAGAAGAGGTGTCATAGGAAAAGGACACTGAATGAACGTTGAGAGAGAGAACCATGAGGGCTGTGTCACAGAAACAAATACATTGAAGAGTTTGGAGAAGGAGACCATGATACAACAGTGTCAAAGGCAGCAGGGAGATCGAGAAGAATTAGTATGGAGTAGTGGCCTTAGGATTTGTAGGTGTGAAAACACAGCTATATTCTGTATAGATTGCGGCGCAAACAAACTTTTAAATTCATGTAAATTTAAACAAATTTATTTTTCACTTATTCATTCATCCTTAAGAAGAAAAGATATTCAGAAAATGAAAAACTTTAGACTGTAGACTGTCTTTTATCTTGCAATATTTCACAAAGGATCTGAAATGTTCCTTATAAAAGCAAACATTTAATGTTTCTCACATACATTGGGTGTGGCAAAAATCTATAACTTGAAAATGGTCAAACACCTGCTTATACGTATTTGCAAGGACACTGAGGGTATTATTCTCCATTTTGGTAGGGAAGGGGTTAAATAGCCAAACACTGCCTTTTAACCCCTTCACATGGCCTTTTGTTTGTAGGTCACCTGTCATTAATTGGAAGCAATATATCATAATGTATTGTGAGATCATGACTGTTTTTTTGTACAACTTAATATTGTCAGTGTAATGCATTTTACTATATAGGGTTTGATGTGATCATCACTTGACAATCTTTTAGATTACATAGATTTAAAACTGGAAACTTTTAAGACTATTTTATTTCAACTGCATTGTGCATTTTGGCTGACTGTCAGTTTGCTGCTTCTTAATCTGCCAGTCATTTAGAAATAAAAAGAACATAAATTGGCTGCTTAGTTTATACATGGAATATTTAGTCTCGTGTTGGTCTAATTAATGTTGGGTTGTTGGTGTGCTCAGGTAGTAAATATTTGAATAAGCAAATTACATATCTGTTCAAAGCATTGAGCTTTGTAATAGTGTTTTGTTTAATTGAGTTGGTGACATAAATTACTGAAAGGTAGATGGGAGAAAATATATAAGCAGCACAAACATGCTGCTGATATCCAAAGAAACCAAGAAAGATTTCAGCCACAACTGCCAGAAGAATTGATCAGGATACAAAGAAAACCCCACAACAGGGTCATGGACCGAGGGCCTGAGGCAGTCAGGGGCCCGGCCGCACAGCCATGCTCCAGCTGGAGAGATCAGAGATCTCTCCAACTGGAACGAAAAAAAATAAAAAAATAATTTAATTGATAGGTTGTGGGGCCCCTGATTCAGCGCGGGGCCCCACAACCTACCGCTCTCTATATCCACCCCCTCCTCCCATGAGACCTGGCAGCTTCACCTCCTCTCCCTCTCTGCCAGGTCTCCTTCTCCCTGTCCCGCTGTGCTCTGTGTGATGGGAGAGGCGGGCCAGGAAGTGACATCACTTCCTGTTTACTCCTCTCACACAGAGCCCAGCGAAGGGAAGGAGAAGCACCCTGGGGAGACCACAAGGAGCAGAGAGACAGGTAGGCTCTAGTCACCCCTCCCCCCTCACTGTCACCAATCACCTCCCCCCACTGTCACTAATCACCCCCCCACTGTCACCAGTCACCCCCACTGTCACTAGTCCCTCCCCCACTGTCACTAGTCCCCTCCCCTGTCACTGTCACTAGTCACCCCACTGTCACTAGTCACCCTCACTGTCACTGGTCACCTCCCCTCACTGTCACTGGTCACCTCCCCTCACTGTCACTGGTCACCTCCCCTCACTGCCACTGGTCACTAGTCACCCCCTCACTGTCACTAGTCACCCCCTCACTGTCACTGGTCACCCCCTCACTGTCACTGGTCACCTCCCCTCACTGTCACTGGTCACCTCCCCTCACTATCACTAGTCACCCCCTTCACTGTCACTAGTCACCCCCTTCACTGTGTCACTAGTCACCCCCTTCACTGTGTCATTAGTAACCCCCTCCCTCACTCACCCTGTCACCTCTTCCCTCCCTCACTCTGTCACTAGAGTGAGTGGGTGACTAGTGACAGAGTGAGGGAGGGGATGACCAGTGACAGAGGGAGGGTGTGACTAGTGACAGAGTGAGGGAAGGGGTGACTAGTGACAGAGTTAGGGAGGGGATGATTAGTGACAGAGTTAGGGAGGGGATGACTAGTGACAGAGGGAAGGATGGGGTGACACAGTGACAGAGGGAGGAATGGGGTGACACAGTGACAGAGGGAGGAATGGGGTGACACAGTGACAGAGGGAGGAATGGGGTGACACAATGACAGAGTTAGGGAGGGAGTGACTAGTGACAGTCACCACCTCCCTCTCTGTCACCAGTCATCCCCTCACTCTGTCACTAGTCACCCCTTTCTTCCCTCACTCTGCCACTAGTCAACCCTTCCCTCACTCTGCCACTAGTCAACCCTTCCCTCACTCTGTCACTTGTCACCCCCTCACTCTGTCACTAGTTACCCCCTCACTCTAGTGACAGAGTGAGGGAGGGTGTGACTAGTGACAGAGAGAGGGAGGGGGTGATTAGTGACAGAGGGAGGGAGGGGGTGACTAGTGAGTCACCACCTCCTTCACTCTGTCACTGTGTCACCCCCTTCCTCACTCTGTCACTAGTCACCCCTTCCTTCCCTCACTCTGCCACTAGTCACCCCTTCCCTCACTCTGTCACCTGTCAACCCCTCACTCTGTCACTAGTCACCCCCTCACTCTAGTGACAGAGTGAGGGAGGGTGAGACTAGTGACAGTGAGGAAGGGGGTGACTAGTGACAGAGGGAGGAGTGACTAGGGACAAAGTGAGGGAGGTGGTGACAGTCACCACCTCCCTCACTCTGTCACCAGTCATCCCCTCACTCTGTCACCAGTCATCCCCTCACTCTGCCACTAGTCACGCCTTCCCTCACTCTGTCACCTGTCACCCCCTCACTCTAGTGACAGAGTGAGGGACGGAGGGGGTGACTAGTGACAGAGTGAGGGAGGTGGTGACTAGTGACAGTCACCACCTCCCTCACTCTGTCACTAGTCACCCCTTCCTTCCCTCACTCTGCCACTAGTCACCCCCTCACTCTAGTGACAGAGTGAGGGAGGGGGTGACTAGTGACAGAGTTAGGGAGGGTAGGGGGTGACTAGTGACAGAGGGAGGGGTGACTAGGGACAGAGTGAGGGAGGTGGTGACTAGTGACAGTCAACACCTCCCTCACTCTGTCACTGGTCACCCACTCCCTCCCTCCATCTGTCACTGGTCGCCCACTCCCTCCCTCACTCTGTCACCAGTCATCCCCTCACTCTGTCACTAGTAACCCCTTCCTTCCCTCACTCTGCCACTAGTCACCCCTTTCCTCACTCTGTCACCTGTCACCCCCTCACTCTGTCACTAGTCACCCCCTCACTCTAGTGACAGAGAGAGGGAGGGGGTTACTAGTGACAGAGTGAGGGAGGGGGTGACTAGTGACAGAGTGAGGAAGGGAGTGGGTGACTAGTGACAGAGTGAGGGATGGGGTGACTAGTGACAGTCACCACCTCCTTCTCTCTGTCACTGTGTCACCCCCTTCCTCACTCTCACTGTCACCCCTTTCCTCACTCTGTCACTAGTCACCCACTCCCTTCCTCACTCTGTCACTAGTCACCCACTCTCTCACTCTGTCACCAGTCATCCCTTCCTTCCCTCACTCTGCCACTAGTCATCCCTTCCCTCACTCTGTCACCAGTCATCCCCTCACTCTGTCACCAGTGACCCCTTCCTTCCTTCACAGTGACAGAGTTAGGGAGGGAGTGACTAGTGACAGAGTGAGGGAGGGGGTGACACAGTGACAGAGTTAGGGATGGAGTGACATAGAGAGGGATGGGGTGATTAGTGACAGAGTGAGGGAGGGGGTGACACAGTGACAGAGTTAGGGAGGGAGTGACTAGTGACAGAGAGAGGGATGGGGTGACTAGTGACAGTCACCCCCTCCCTCCCTCTGTCACTAGTCACTCCCTCCCTCTGTCACTAGTCACTCCCTCCCTCTGTCACTAGTCACCTCTTCCCTCCCTCACTTTGCCATTAGTCATCTCTTCCCTCCCTCCCCCACTAGTCAACCATTCCCTAACTCTGCCACTAGTCACCCACTCCCTCACTCTGTCACCAGTCACCCCCACTCACTGTCTCCCCCTCACTCTGCCACCACTCAACCCCTCCTTCCCTCACTCTGCCACCAGGTACCCCCTCACTCTGCCACCTGTCACAACCTCCCACACTCTTCCACCTGTCACCTTCTCCCTCATACACTCTGTCACCTGTCACATATGCATTCACACAGACACTATATACAAAAAGCACATGTAGTCATCCAGACATGCACAAGTGCATTCACACAGACTCAAATACAAACATGCATTGATACACAGGTCTTCACAATATACACATCCAAAGGAATGCCGTATTATGAGTTATATTTAACATTTATTTAATGCACGTATATTTGGCCTTCAAAGGGCCTGGAATCTATTTTTGCCCTGATAGTCCGCCCCTGCCCCACAGGTAACCTCAGGAGAAATACTGGCTTCTCTTGGTGTGGTTGTTTCACTGAGCACAATTCGACGATACTTGAACAAAAATGAACTGGAGAGGTAGTAGTACATATATTAGCAATTCTCCAAGGGTATGCAAACTTGTGTGTGTCTGTAACAAGGCTGGACATTTAAGAGTATATAACCTTTTGACCAGGGCCATTTGGGTGATTTCTGTTATGATTCAAAAAGGAGCCAAAATGTGATAAAAACCTTCATATGATCACTATCCTTCAATAAAATACTTATTTTTGCATGATTAGTCATATTTTTTAAATCAATAGCAAAATGTCACAGTTTCTGCCAGGCTATGCAAACTTTTGAGCACAACTGTGTGTGTATATATTGTAGCCATATTCAGGGCCGCCATCAGGGGGTGACAACCATGACGGTTGTCACAAACCCGGTGGCCCTAGGGGGGCCCGGCCGTAGTGGCGGAACTGCCGCCGGTGCAGTTGCGCCGGAGCCTGCACGCTGTTGGGGCCTATAGGGTGGCCCACGCACTTAGGGACACCCAATGGGCCCGGTTAGCGCTGCGGCCATGCAATAGTGCGACCAGGCCTCTGTAAAAAAAATTGCAGCCGCAACGCAAGTGCTGCTGGGAGGAAGTGGCAGTCACTTCCTCCAAGCTCCCTCCCCTTCACGTCGCGTGGGAGGGAAGAAAGCCAGGCCGCGGGAGCCACGCCGACTCCCATCAGCCACAGCCTATCTATGTTAGTATGTATGCATGTGTGTGTGTTAGTATGTGTGTGTGTGTGTGTCGGTAGGTGTGTGTGTGTGTGTCGGTAGGTGTGTGTGTGTCGGTAGGTGTGTGTGTGTGTGTATGTATCTGTCACGGGTGGCGGTACGGAACCCGGGACACAGACTCTGTCCGGGCAGCGGAGCATGCACCGGGACCCAGTATGCCTGGTAGAACATCATAGCACTTACCTGCAAGAAAGGGCAGAGACTTGAAACACTGCTGCAGGTCCAGGCTGAAACAAGAGTAATGATTTAAAACAAAAGGGTGTGGCAACATAAAACAAACATTTAAAGGAAACCTGGACACTGGGAATTCCAGGGACGGATTACAGGAATGAACCCAGAAAACCCAGCATAAGGAAAACCAGACATGGAATAGAAAACCAGAAAAACCAAGAAAAACTAAGCAAGAATTGTAAAAAGAGTGCTGGATACCTGAAACCAAAGTGAGACATCTCCGCAGAACATGGCATGATGTGACAAAACTCCCCGCTTAAGGAGCGACCTCCTGGTGTGACAAGCCGCTCTCAGGCAGAGACCAGGAAAGAAGCGAGCATCCAGCAACTAAGTCCTCAAGACTTATCAGAGGCAAGGATTCCCTGACACAGCAGGAAAGTAGTTTGCGGCTCACAATGCCATTCCGAGCTACTTTACTTCCTTTGGAAAGGTCTCCTGCAAAGGAACCACCAGCCAGGACCGAGATCCACTCCAGAATAGGAGCACTGCCACGAAACAAGAACCAAGCATCACAAGAAAACACCTGAAGTGACCACCGTACAGCTTAGCAGATCCACGACAAAAATAAGGAAGCCATATCCAGCAGACTGGTCCCGATACAGGAACTCTTGCAAGCAGAAGAACCAGGCATGATCTGACACAGATAGAACAGGAAAGCTGCAAAGTCCACTCCACAAACTCCAAGTGCCTACGGCCACCTGTCACGGGTGGCGGTACGGAACCCAGGACCAAGACTCTGTCCGGGCGGCGCTGTGTGGACCGGGACCCAGTATGCCTGATGAGAAGTGGGAGTCTTCAGCGTGGTAATGGACTATCAGGACCTGGTGCAGGGTAACCACATGCCCCCTTGTGTTGAGCACCAGCGTTTGTGCGGCCACATACCGGATCCCAGGAACTAGGAGCATGGAAATAAGCAGACCTACCAAGAGCTCAATAGGGAGGCTCTGCAGCAGACATGTATCCAGTATAGAAACAAGGCAAAGTTAGGATAGTCACCAAACATGAAAACAAGACAGAACTAATACAAGCCAGAACCAGAGCAGGACAGAACCCAGAACAGGTACACAATACATAAGGGAACATTAACTAAAACAGGGGCAGGACAGGACAGGACTGTACATGGACTGGGAATACAAACTAAAACAAGACAAGATATGATAGGCAAAACAAGAGGAGACATAACTAAGCACTATATATGAAAAGTATGGGGATTTAGTTACATTATATGATCATACATTGCATAAGCCTGCCACAACGCCAATGTACCCCATATTTGGTAGGTCCTACACTGCCTAATGTTCGCTAAAAGAACCATACTAAACCACAATAGCACTTACCTGCAAGAAAGGGCAGAGACTTGAAACACTGCTGCAGGTCCAGGCTGAAACAAAAGGAATGATGGAAAACAAACGGGTGAGGCAACATAAAACAAACATTTAAAGGAAACCTGGACACTGGGAATTCCAGGGATGGATTACAGGAATGAACCCAGAAAACCCAGCATGGAATAGAAAACCAGAAAAAACAAGAAAAACTAAGCAAGAATTGTAAAGAGTACTGGATACCAGAAACCAAAGCCAGACATCTCCGCAGAACATGGCATGATGTGACAGTATCTGTGTGTGTGTGTGCAGGGACGTTTTAGCCGCGAGGCAAACAAGGCATTTGTGTCTGTGTGTATATTCCTGTGGGCAGATTTGGAGGCGTACCCTGTGGGCGGGATTGGAGGTAATACCTTTTTGGACTTACAGAATTTTGTAATAACAAGCTTTTGGGAGAACCTCCCTTTCTCAAGTCTAAAGCATTGCTTTTGAGTTCTGGGAGTTACTAATGGATGCTGTTTTTTGGGGACCAGTCTGAAATATAAAGTCTGGGGTTAGAAAAATGCCATTATGGGTTGGAAGACATGGAGATATTGAGGTAATTAGAGGTAAAAACCCAAGGCCAGAGCATGGAATATTTTATAGAGTCCTAACCTCAACATCTGAACAGGGCCATTTTTCCAATGGGCACGCTGGGCAGTTGCCCGGGGGCCCCACAGGCATGGGGCCCCTCCGCTCAGCCTGTGCAGGCCAACAGGGGAGATACTTTGATATCTTGCCGTGGGCCCTCTCGGGCTGGTGTGGATCAGAGAGCAGGAAGATGGACCTGGGAGTCAGATCACTCCTCCCATGAGCAGGCTATGGCAACACTCCACACACTGCCTCACAGCGCTCGCAGTGGAGACAGTCTGTAGCCAGACAAGCTGCAGGCTATGTAGATCACCACCGGACCACCAGGGCTGGCAGTGTCTCCCCCCTTCCTTGCAGATTTTAATAATGTACATTTAATATTAAATAAAACAAAAGCATTTGCTCAATGCACCCCTCACACTCTGCCACACACACAGCAGTCTGTGTGTATGTGTATTCAGCTGTCTGTGTGTACTCCTGTGAAGCAACCTGTGATTTATCTTCATTGCTTCTAACCTGATTTATTACCAGCCCTGCTCAATACCAACCTGAATTGTTTACAACCTTGCTTTTTCCTCCCAACCTGGTTTACTTCCAACCCTGCTCCATACCAACCTGGATTGCTTACAACCTTACAACTCTGCTTTATCCTGCCTACCTGAATTATACAAACCTGCATAACCCCTATTTGGACATTGCTGCTTACTCTTATTTACAAGGTGTTATTTTCATGCCCTGAAACCTTATTGTTCTTTATACCGGTTTTATTATTCTACCTATACTTTTATCTCTCTTTATCTTCTTATTATTTGCAAACCTGTTTATTATCTATATAGGGCATATTGCCTTAACCTTTATTCCTCTTACTTTCCTTCTCCTTATTTCATTATATAAGTTAACCTGCTGTTATGTCAATACCTATCAATAAAACCTCTTTGGTAACTCTGGCCAAAGCTCCTATCTGACCTGAACAATATCATGACATTAGCAGTCTGTCTGTGTGTATTGAGTAGCCTGTGTATGCTGCAGTCTCTGTGTGTGTGTATTTAGCAGACTGTGTATGTATTTAGCAGTCTGTGTGTACTCTGTGTGAGTGTATTCAGCAGTCGGTGTTTGTGTGTTGCATTTGTTGGAGGTACCAATAAATATAAGTTTAATTTTATCGATAATTTACATTTTTATTCCTGTGAGTT